TTGGTGGTTTTATAAATTGCATCTTCAATTTCATTGACTATTATTATAGGGTTATTTAGAATTTTTATATTTTCTTGATTCAGCTTTGATAATTTATGTATATCTAGGAATCTGTCCACTTCTTCTGTGCTTCATCTTATTAGAGTGCAGATTTGTGAAATAGATATGATCTTCTTGATTTCTGCAGGATCTGTTGTGATTTCACCCTTTTCATTACTAATTGTGTGCATTTGAGACTTTTCTCTTTTTTGATAACATTGGCTAAGGGTTTATTTATTTTATTTAAATAGAACCAACTCTTTGATTCATTGAATCTTTGCATTGTTTTCTTAGTTGTAATTGCATTAATTTCTGCTCTGATGTTTATAATTTCCTTTTTCAGATGTACTCTGAATTTAATTTTCTTCTTTTCCTAGAAGCTTGAAGTTCATCATTAGGTTATTTAATGGAGCTCACTCTTGTTTTTCTTATGTGGGAATTCACTGCTATAATTTTCCCTCATAGGACTGCTTTCATTTCATCCCATTAGTTCTGGTATATTGTACTGGCATTATCATTGAATTGTAGAAATTGTCTAATTTCTTCTTTTCATCTGTGACATACTTTTTTCAGGAGGATATTGTTTAATTTCCATGTATTTATGGAATTTTTGTGGTTTCCTTTGTCATTAATGTCTAGTTTTATTACATTATGATCTGATAATGTGTTTGACATAATTTCAGTTCCTTAACATTTACTTAACATGTTCTATAAGGTAGTATATGATCTATTTTGGAGAAGTACTGTGTACTGCTGAGAAGAATTGTATTCTGTTGTTGTTGGGTGGAACAATCTGTAAAAATCTAAATCCATTTGTTTAAAAGTTTGAAATTTCTCTGCTGATTTTTTTGTGTGTAGCTGATCTATTTGTAACAGTGGTATATTGAGGACCCCCATTACAATTGTATTGCTACTTACCTAATTTTTCATGTCCACTAATATTTGTTTTATATATTTGGGCACACTGTTGTTTGGTTCATATATTTTATCTCTCCTTATGAATTGTTCCCTTAACAAGTCCATAGTGCCCTTCTTTGTCTCTCTTAATCAGTTTTGGCTTGAAATCCACTTGTCTGCAAATAGAATAGCTTCCTCTGATTTTTTTCAGTTTCTTGTTGCATGGAGTACTGTTTTTCATCCTTTGCCTTTCAATCTATGACTTTATCTTTGAATTAAATATGGTTCTGTATGCAGCATATTGTTGGATCTTATTTCTTGATCCATTCTGCCAATCTGTTTCTTTTGATTGGTGAGCTCAGACCATTTACATTGATGGCTATAATTGATATGTATTGATTTATCCTTGCCATATAAGTTTTCTTTTGCTAGTCCCTTTTCTTTCCCCTCTGATTGTTTGCCTTCCCTGGTTGATTCATTCTATTGGGATTCATGAAATTCTAGTCTTCACTAACTCTTTCTAGAATATTCTCCAGAACATTTTGGAGTTCTAATTTAGTGGTCATTAATTTTTCAGGTGTTCTTTATCACGGATGTATCTTATTTCTCCATCAGTTTTGAAAGATAATATTTCAGAGTTCATTAATCTCCGTTGGAGTTTGTTTTCTTTTAGGGCTTGGAATACTTCCCTTGAAGCTCTCCTTGATTTAAGGGTTTATGTTGAGAAGTCTGCTGTGAATGGTTTTCCTTTGTAGATAACTTTTTCTTTTGTATAACAGTTTATAATGTTCTGTTCTTCTGTTGAATTTCTGGAATATTGACTATTTTATGCCTTGGTTTGGATTTTTATTTTTTCTGATCATGGCTAATGGGAGTTCTGTGTGCCTCACTTTATCTATATGTGAAATTCTTTTTCCATGCTTGGGAATTTTTCTACCATTACTTCTGTGAACAGTTTTTTTTTTTTGCTGTTGCTTTTTTTTAATTGATTCCACTCAATCATATTATTCTTATTTTCCTCATCTACCAGCTGTTGGATTGATTTTTCATTATCCCTGGTATTTTTAAAATCTCTTCTGATGATTGCTTACTACAAACTTGTCTGATAGATAAGATATTATGTCCTCACATTAGTTGATTCTGCTACTTATACTTTCAATAGAATTCATATCTCCTGGATATCTTTTTGAACCTGTTGTATGGAATCCATTTATCTCCTATATTGGGCATTTATGGTTTCCATCATTTCTTAAGATCCTCTATTTTTTTAAAAGTGTATCTACTCTTGACTCACGAATGATGTCCTTCATTGTGGTCATCATCTCTTTTGTTACCTTAGAAATTATTTCTGAATTGTTTTTTTCTAGAGCTTCAAAGTTATTTCTGCTGCAATCATTTCAGAAAGTTCTGGTAGGTGGCTTCTGATTTACTCCATCTCATTGCCTCCTGGCCTTGCCCTGGATGAGCTGGAAGTCTGGGGTTATGTCTTTCTTCCACATCTTATAATTTTCTTTTCTTTTTAAAAATTTGTTTTCTGCATTGATACTTGTAAATTGCTAATGATAGGTAGTTTTATTGGTAGTGTTGGGACCTCCTTAGGAAATGAGTACTTTTCAGAGATGTTTTCTAAGTGTCACAGGCTTTTGGCTTTTGAGTCTTTTCAAAGATCCTACCATTTCAGTTTATTAGGGACAAGAGGTTACTGCCTGCTCGTCCTAGCACTTAGTTCTTTGGTACTGGACTATAGCATTGTTTATGACCTAGACAATCTTGTTATTGGCAAACAGGGAAGAGCAACTGATCACAACAACTGTGACATGTTGGATACACTAGTGCAGTCACTAATAGCAATAGCATCAAGCACAGCCTAGAAACTGACAAACTGTGGTAATCATTAATTTGCCAACTTTAACCAGAGAAATGGGATTTATAGTTTTATAATGAAGTCTGAAACAAACCAAGATATTATATATAGCAAATATCCTCTCAGTAGAGTGGTTTTACCCTCTAGGAAGAAAATTTAAAAGGGATAAGAGGAAAAAAAATAGAGAAAATAGATGTAGAGAAAGAGATTAGAAGCAAGACTGAAGGAAAAAGGAAGATTATTCAGGCTTTGGGGACCTAGTGAAGAAATAGGAGAGAAGGAAAGAAGGAAAAAAAACAAAAGCAAGAACAAAGCAAATGAAAGAGCTAGAAACAATGTTCACACTTATGAAAAAACCAAAACAATCAAGACAAATTTAAACAAACAAAAAGGACAGCTGGGGATTTAGCTCAGTTCTTCTGCTGCCTGCCTCACAAGCACAGGGACACAAGTTCAATCCCTGGTACCAAAAAAAAACAAAAACAAAAACCAAAAAAACAAACAAACAAAAAACCCAAAAAGGACAAATACCTCCCCATGCCCCACCCTAAAAAAATAAAAGAAAAAATTTCTCTGTGACTTCAAACCTGTGATTATCTTCTGCTGTCTACAGCTTTGAGTTAGTGTCCAAGGCAGAGCCCACATCTGTCCTGGGTAACCCTAGTAAGTCTGCAGTAGGATTAGGGTGGGGGTGTTGTGCAATCTCAGCAAGCCAGCAGTAGGGTTGGGGTGGGGCACTAACTCTGCTTTCAACTCCATAGAAGTTCATGCTGGTGTTGGCCTCTGGCTAGGCACTGGAGACCAAGTCTTTAGCCAGCAACTCTCTGGATTTCCCTTGGCAGCCAGCCCATTTTCCCCACTCTGGACTTCTCTTTTGGCCTTCACTCACCCAGTTGCTGTGGGATTTCAACACTGGGAGATCTGAGAAAAATACTACTGATGGCTGCTATGAGTCCTGGGTTCTGCCGATGCTTCCCTAAAAAAAGTCTGACCAAACACTCTTTCAGTAACACTGCTGTTGCCTGGCCCGGAATCACTTACTAGTCCTTCTAGTGCACAGCCTCCACTGTTCCGCTCCACTGGTGTGTTTTTATCCTCTCTCATGCCAAGAGCTAGGAGTGGTGCAGAGGACAGTTTGCCTCCTCTTCCTCTGTGCTGTGGTCCATCCCTTACTTTCACTGTGGTCATCTCCTTACTTTCTCTGCAGGCTCCAGTCTTTCCTTCAGATCTTTCCTGGATCCCAGTTATCTCTTTCCTTCTCCTCTTCTTCAAGTCGTTACTCTTCAGCATCTGGATTCCAAATATTGGAGAGGTTGATCTGTTGCTTAGTATTATTTTCTATGAGTTATTTATTTATTTATTTATTTCACTCAAGGTCACTCGATCACTGAGCTACACCCTATGCCTTATTTTATGGTTTTATGGTTTGAGACTAGTTCTCACCAAGTCACTAGGTTGGCCAGCTGGGGGCTGACCGTGTGATTCTTATGCCTAAACTTACAGAGTGCTGGAATTACAGGCATCTACCTCCATGCAGGGAATCCTTGCTTATGATGATTCAACCTAAGACATTTTGACTTACAATGGTGTGAAAGTTACAGACATTCAGTAGAAATGGTACTTTGAGTTTTCAGTGTGATTTTTTTTTTCCTGTGCAAGTGGTATATGATTTTTTTGGCAGTGCTAAGAGGCAGGAGGACCAGCTCTTCCAGCCAGCTGCCAGTGGCTTGGGCTGCAGCCCATGCACTGCAGGCTGCTCAGGCCCCACGGCAAGTGAGTGAAGGAAGGTAGGTTAGTTAGGATGGAGCATGTTGTGGGAGAGCATCTTATGGCTATTCCAGAGCTGCCATTGCCATCAGCTTCTAAATTGGGATCCTTGATTGTGAACTGTAATGGAGAATAGACACCAGAGCTGTGTTTTAAAACACATTTTAAATTTCAACCCTAATAAAATCCTTGCTGCAAGGTTTCAAGTTTATTTCATTTTAAAAATTGTAAATGGGTTGAATTCAACACTCATTACATTAATATTAACCATGTAACTCCTTTGGTGGGTGATTGAGCAAGCAGAAAAACCACTGTAGATGGATCCTCATGAGCACGTACATGTGCACGTGGGAACCCAGGGGTTTATATCAGGGGCAGTGCTGCTTCCTGTGGCATCTGTGGCATTTCAGTAACCACCAGCCTGCTTCTCCAGGGCAGAGATGTGCTTCCCCGGCCTGTGCAGGCTGCACAGTTCTACTACATGGACACCTTCATTCTGCTGTCTTCTGGCCCAGAACTGTGGCTGCTGAAATATCACCTTGACACCTGCAAAGATGAGCTGAAGAGGTAGGGAGCCGACTGATGCTTTCTCTTCCCTTAATTTGAGTAACAGAAAGAGAAAGAAAGTGTTGATAGTCATGTTATCCAGGGTTTACTAACAGCGTTGTGTTCCTGTGAGATGTGTGCTGTGAGTTGATTCACCTGGTTCTCTGTGTGTTAATTCTTACCTATGGGAAAATCTGGAGGATTTAAGGACTCTTAATTACTCAAGTGACATTATGAGAGCAAGTGCTGATTTTTACTAAGAAGTTAAAATTACAGAATGCTTCAGACGTATAGGCATACATAGGGAATAATAGTTATTTTCCTACACCAAGCTTGAAGAAATATTCACATTTTGATATCTTCATTTTCAAAAATTTAAAGAAATAAAATATTTCAAGAATCAGAGATCCTAACCCCTTGTAACTGTTGTATCTGTCTCCTTTGCTGAGTCTTACGTGCCCACCTGATTTCATCTGGTAAGGCAAGTGTAACACCTTAGTAATCAGTGTGGGGTTATCAAGATGCTTGACTTTGGGGTGCTCCTTCTCCTCAGGTCTTCTGTAACAAGTGGTGCCCAGCCATCTCTTCTCTCACTGATGGATATGGAGCTGTTTGGGACTTCCTCATTGGGGATGTATGGGCAGGCTTAGACTTCTCGGAGGTCTCATTGCAGGGACAGAATACCTGATATTCATAAGTTAAAGGAGGAAAGATTTATATCATAATTTGAAGAGGTTTCAGCCCATGGTTGGCTGGCTGTAATGCAAAGGTGGCATGGTAGTGGGGTATAGCAGAGGATAAACAATTCATGGCAGGGCAGACAGAAGGCAGGAAATCGTGAGCCTGTTTTCCTTTTTGTTTCATTCAGGATGCAATCCGTTTGGTTGGTGCTGCACACACCTAGGGTGAGCCTTCCGTCATCCACACCAGAACAACACTAAACCAACTGGTGGATTAATCCAGCTGTCACGCACCTATAATCCAGTGTTACATACCCATGATCCGACCACCTCCCAGAGGCTCCACCTAGGAGGCTTTGGGTGGACATGTAGATACAAGCCATAACATGGGGTTTGAGCCAGTTCTGGAAAGTTGGCCATCCTGCCTGGCAGGTAGCTCCCTTTTTTCTTTCTCAGAGCATCCATTGTATCTTTTTCTGTGTGTGACCAAAACCCACAGACAGGCTTGCCCCCCGCCCCCACAATAAGGATCTGGAGAAAGAAAGCCCTGGCTTTGTCCTGCTATTTGTCAAACCTTGATTTTAAGATGGGTGCCATGTTCATATTTCTACAGGGCCAGATTGGAAAGGGAACTTTCAGGCCACAGCCTAGAGGAGTTCAGGGTTAACATATGAGGCTGAAGGTATTGCTGAAGGAGGCTGGGCCATGTTGATCTGGGCATCTTGGTAGAGCAGGGTGGTGCCTGTGCTCCAGGTGGCTACATCACCTTCTCTGAAACAGTAGCTGTTAGAGTAGTCTGTGCTCTAGGGAACAGAGAACAGGGTCTGAGCAAGCTTATATCCAAGAAGCCTGGCCTGGTGTCTTCCTTGGCACATGCGCAACTAATTCTGTGAGTAGTGGATACTGTGCCCTCTGGTTACAGCTCAGATAGGCTCTCCCTAGGCCTGCTTCTCAAGAGGTATTTGTGATTTCAGCTGCAAAAGGCTGAACTCCACACTTTCCTATGTTGGCATCAAAGATAGCTCATGTGCAGTTGTTTCCCAGGATGGTGCCACAAGACATATTTGGAACAAATGTTACTTCTTGTGAGGTTGCTGCTTACTCCTAATGTAGCAGGGTACTGTGTATAGGTGGACAGTGAGGAGAATGTGCCTGGATTCCCCCATACCTGATGGCTCTTCTCAGAGCCTAGCTCGCCTAGGATGCACAGCCCCTCCAGGAAGATGGCCCCACAGGATCTCCTAGTTGCTGCCTGCATCTTTCATCCATCCTGTCTACACACCTGACCCATCATCCCATCTTATCCCATCCATCTGTCCCACCCATCCATCCTGTCCACCCCATCTGTCTCATCCATCCCATCTTATCCATCCCACCCATCTGTTCCATCCATCCATCTATCCTATCTCATCCATCCATTCCATTCATCCATCTATCTACCTCATCTCATGTCTCCCAATCTATCTTTCCTGTATAATGTACTTTTAATCCAACCTACCTTATCACATCCGTCCTACCCATTCATCTCATCTATCCACACCACCTATCCATCTCATCCATCTATCCATCCATCCATCACACCCATCTCATCTGGCCTATCCCTCCCATCCATCTTGTCCCATCCATCCATCCATCCATCCATCCCATATATCCTACTCATCCATCCCATTCATCTATCCCATCCACCCCTGACTTTCATCTATCCCTCCCATCCCATCTCATTTATGCCATTCATTTATCCATCCGTCCATCCCATTCATCACACCTCATTCTTCTCATCCATTCACCCACCCCATCCATCCTATTGTACACATCTGTTCATCCATCCATCCACCCATCCATTTTATATATCATACCCATCCATCCCATCTGTCCAGTTCATCCATCCCATCCACCAATACCGTTCATCTATCCCACCCATCCCATCTCATTCATTCCATTCATCTTATCCATCCATCCATCCCATCCAGTCTTATCCCCTCTCATCTCTTCCACCTATTCATTCACCCCTCCCACCCATCTTATCTATCCATCACATTAAGCTATCTCATCCATCCCATCCACCCATCCCATTCATGTATTTCACCCATCTTATGTCATCCACCTCATCTCATTCATCCCATCCATACATTTTGTCCACCCCATAGATCCATGCCATCCATCCAAGCTCATTAATCCCATCTATCCATCTCACCTCTCCCATCTCATTCACTCTGTCCATCTGTCCTACCCATCCTACCCCATCTATCCAATGTCATTACTCCTGTTGATCCATCTCACCTATCCCGTCTCATCAATCCCACTCAGCCTCCCATCCCACCCACCCATCCTTCTAATCCATATATCCTGTACACCAATCACATCCATCCCATCTCATCCATCCCAAGCTGTCCATCCTGCCTCATCCATTCCAATCTATCTGTCCCATTTACCCCATCTACACCATCTCATCTGTCCCATTCATCTACCCCATCAATCATCACACCCATGCAAACTCATTCATTCCATCCATCCCTCCCATCTATCCCATCTCATCAGTCCTATCCATCTATCCTATCTCATCCTATCATCCATCTACCCCTCTAAATCATACACTCCTCTGGTATATTTCACTCACCCCATCTCACCCATCTTAATCCATCTATCCCATCTCATACATTCTAATTTATCTATTCCACCCATCCTCTGTCATCCCTCCCATCCATCCACCCCGCCCATCTCATGCATCCCATCCACCCACCCTACCCTCCACTCTTATCCATCCCATCCATCTTATCTCATCCATCCTATCTATCCCATTTCATCCCATCCCATCCCATTCATCCTTTTCATCTATCCATCCTATTCTACCAGTACTATTTTTCACATCCCATCTATTAATCCATTTATCGATCCATTCCATCCTATCCCATCCCATCCTATCTTATCTGACTACTTGGACAATCTTAGTTTATGTGATGACCTAATACAAGTGCTACCAATGGAGTGAGTTGAGCTGACACTGCCCAGCTGTGTTTCACCTGGTGGGCTTCCAGTAGTAATGATAAACTGCAACCCAGTAGTAGCACAGAGAGTTAGAAAACATTGATACAGGATTAAAAAGTGTTACATTTCTATTTTAAAAGATTATCCAGAAGAATGGTCATGTTCATTTACACCTCCTGGGCCTTATCCTGTGCAGTCTTCCTATAGGAATCTACGAGCTGTGCCTTGCACATCTCTGTTCCTTCTGGCTGTCTTTCTGAAAGACAATTTTCTCAACTGAACAGTCCCTGGTTTTTATATACCTTTCCAAATGTAATAGCTGCTTTCTGCTTTATTAGTCATCTTTCTATATAATTAAACAATTTTTCACTATGGTAATTTGTGTAGTTACATCCTATCCCTGGATACTTATTCCCAAGCCTCTCTTGAGGTGTGGCCTCTTTGTCTCCTCATTTATGTGTGGCCTGCCTTCTAGACCCTTCGAAGCCCTGAGGTCTGTCCCAGGACTCTTGTTCTGGAGCTTGTCCTTGGATAGCTTTCCATTTTGTTCCCTGCCTATCTCTCCTCTGTGTTCAGGAGTGTACTCTGGCCTCCTCCTGGGCAGCACAATGCGTCTTGTCCTCTACCCTCTCCCACTAGTCAAGACTACTTCCTGGAATTGCCAGCCAGTTACCTTCCTTTGGGAAGTTATTTCTAGGAATTAAGAGCATACATTTAATAAGCCATTGCTCACTGCTTGTGTTATCCTTCAGAAAACAGTAACAAGTTATGTTTCATCACTGGTAATTTATAACTGGTTGGTTATCTTCTCAAGTATATATAATTATTATTGTATTAGGGGACAAATTTGATTTCTCATAGTTGGAAATGCATAATTTTTGGCTATATAGGGTGATATGATATTATTTTCATAAATTTTCTTTAAAGGTAAATGAGAGTTTCTTAATGGAAACTAAAGTTTTTCCTAAAGGAAAAGTAGGTGTCCAACCCATTTATTTCCTCAGTATTATAAAATACAACTTACTAAACTAATTGGAAAACTTTATTTTCACTTTCAAGTTTTTAAAAGGTAGAATGTTTAGCTGTAGTGGAAGAAAGCTATAGTGGAAAGAAACAAGATTCATCATCTGTATTTTTCTTACAGGTATAAACCGAGGAGCAGTTACAAGCTTATTTGCAAGCTCTCTCTGTCAAATGCAGCAGATGTGACCAGTTTGTCAGCAGTGAATGACTTTTACTCCTGTATCCTTGCTCTCTGGTCCCTCCAATGTGCCACATACTGAGTGTTATTTTTCTGGCAAAGTGTCACTCATTGTCAGATCAGCCTTAAATTGTGCTGTGCACTTGGAACATGGAACCTGTGGTCTTTTGCAGCAGTTGCACATGTAAGAACTTCACCTTGGTGAGAGAGGAACACAACCCTGGTTATGACGTCTGGCTCATCCTTTACAGGGTGAGCCGACCAGACTTTCTTATCTGTGCTTTAATGAAAATTCAAGGTAACTTAGTGCATTTTCTTAATAAATTGTCAGTTCTTGCTTTATGTATCCTTTGGTTACTCAAGCACTTATTCCATCTCATGAAGGACTGAACAAAATGATAGCAGTTGCTATCAACAGAGTATAAAATTGACTCCAAACGTTTAATGTTTGTATGGCTAATGTAATCACTTTCAATTTTAAGAACATATTTTAGTTGGTTTAGATGCAAAGCTCCTAAGTTTTAGGAGTTCATTTCATAAAATTTTAATGTATTCAAACATAGGTAGGTCTACACTGAATTTTACTGAAGATTTATAGTTAAAATTGTGAAGGACAGAAATAAAAGGTGATAAGATTCTGTATGTTTTAGTTGCAAATGCGAAACTTTTGTGCTGGCATCATTTGAAAAGAAAAACCCACTTGGCAGAAATGTACACTGTGGTTATTTAAACTTGAGTTACCAGTTCTGCATGTGCTGGCATTGGCACTGTACTAACTATTGAATCTGGAACTCTGCACTCCTGTACGTACACTTCTGCTGCAGTGCACAGGGCTGAGCACTGGCTGCTGGGTAGTTTGGTCACATATTCCCTGAGTTTAGAAATTGTCCCTCCCACATCAGACTTATAAAGTGTATTGTAATTTCCTGAAGATATGCCGCTCTATGTTACCTCATGCAGCCTGCTTGGAAATAGATTATCCCCTTCGTGGCTTTATAATCTCATCTTTACCTCAGACAATATACATTTTCAGCAGTTAGTTGGTATCTTGATTTGGATATCCACAGGTATCTCACGCTCTGATATCCCACCTGTTCATGACTGGGTCCCCCAGCTTCCACTTGCTGTTACCAGCTCTTGCCAGACACCTGGGAGCCAGATAGGAGGAGCCAGGGCTGGGACTGGACTGTTCCTATGTAACACCAGGAATGCTTTACGAATCAATCATTTCTGAGTCTTGCAATGTTCCAAGGCTGATTAGTTTAAATGGAACTGTCCGGTCTGTTTCTCTTGGGTACGATCATGGTGAAGAGTTCCCTAACTGAATCGTTGCAGACATTGTACTCACAGCTGGCCGGGACAGGACTTTGGAAGTTTTCGACTTCAATGCTGGCTGCAGTGCTGCAGTGATAGCAGAAGCCCATTCACGACCAGTCCATCAAATTTGTCAAAATACAGTAAGTGTTTGGATTGGTATGGACCATTTGTAAAATTATGAGCTTAAAGTGTTTAACACAATGGCCCACAGGCTTTTTGGCACAGGGATGTTTTGTGGAAGACAATTTTTCCAAGTAGGATAGGTTGGAGAGAGAGGTTTAGGATTATTCAAAGGACAGGCAACCTACACCCCTCACATGTGAAGGTCACACTAGGGTTTGCACCCCTATGAGTGATGTTGACCATTTTTCATGTTTATTTGCTGCTATTACTTCTTTGTCTGAGAAATATCTGTTCAATTCCAGCAGCTTTTCTTCTTGGGAGAGAGTATGAGATATAGCTGTCCCTACAGTTTGAATACATCTACTTCTGTGTAGTAAAGGCTAGGATTATGAGGATCTCATATTCATGGTTCCAAAATAATGCCTGAAGAGACTTAACTGACCTTGATAGATACCAAGAGGTTCATGTTGATTGATACAGGTCTCACTTTAACTTGGTCTTAAACAACCAATAGAAAAGAATAACCAAAAGAAGTGTAAAATAATGCCATAGTAATAAAGCTAGATATAAAAAGGGGCTCCAGTCACTGACCCCTTCTGGCAGTTTCCAGCTCTAACAGTAGCTGACCATGATTATGGGTTATTAGGAAAAAAACGATGGTAAAATCTATAAGAGCTCAGCTAGAGTTTTATATTTTTTAGCAAAATTCTTCAAATTGTCTCAGAGCTAAAACTAGAGAGACTTATGACAAAGTATGAGACTTATGATTACCTCTTTCAATGAAAGAATCTAAGACCAGCAGGTGCAATCACTATTTCAATTTCTAAGTGTGTTTTTTTTTTTTGGCACTGGGGATTAAACTCAGGTCCTTGTGCTTGTGAGGCAGGCAGCAGAACCACTGAGCAAAATCCATGGCCACTAAGTGTGACTTTCTACCCAACCTGCCCTTTCATTCTAGTGTGCTCATGCTTAGATTATGCATATTCTAATTTCTTAAACTTTTTTTTTATTCTTGCCTAGAGGCTACTACACTCCAAGTAGTCATACAAATCGAACCAATGACAGATGTGCTAGACTTCTTTTACTGGGATCCACCAGATCGACTTTGTAAACAGCTCAGAACTGCTAAACTGTACAAAATTACTTCTATGTTGGATTCTGAAGTCCCCTGGACCTTCCTCTTATCCTCTTTGTTGGCTATATTCACAGCAATCCTGCTGCCCTTATAATGTGGCCCATGCATTCTTAACTGTTTCTTTGGCTTTTTCTCCTCCAGACTTATAAGCTATGCAGCTACCAAGACGACAATGCCAGGTGCCTACCAAAGGCCTTTAGATTATCCCTCTGTAGAGTACCTCTACTGCTGATCACAACTACAACCCTCTTCAGCTGGAAGTAGCCAGAGCTGTCTTTGCCCTTTGCCCCCTCACAGCAGTTAGGTGTACTTCTTCAGAGGGGGGAATATTGCAGATAGACAAGTTAATTAGATATCTTGTAGGCAGTTAGACAGGGCCCCACAAGGAGCCAACTCAGCAAGGAGCCAACATGGAGGACAATCAAGACATTCACTGATGGCCAGAATTGTAAAATGAGAGAAATTACTATACCTTTGTGCTCCAAAGAGCAGTGATTGATATTCTAAGTAGGTATCAATCACCTGGGTTCGGGGCCAAGTTCTTAACCTAGCCTTTCCAGGAAGATTGACCCTCACCTTTACTGAAATCCTTGCTAAGTGACTCCTCCCCCATTTGACCCCCATTTAATCAATATTACCTGAGTGATTGTACTTGTAATCTTGTTGGTTGGTCATGGTTTTGTCCCATCTCATGCCCACCTTGTAATTTTCCATTGGGTCTTACAGTTTTGTCCCACTTTGTACCCAGCTCACCGCATAGCTTTGCTGTATAAAATAGCTTGGAGAAGTGGGGTGAGCAGGCAACCCACTTTCCAGTCCCCCTCTGTCTCTCTTAGACAGAAGCTTTCTTTCCCTCAATAAATTTTTCCTACCCTTAAAAAAAAGTTCTAGAGGAATTTTGTTACCTAAAAGAGCATCTAAAGCCTTATAAATGATCATTTTGTTTTTTAAATTTTATTTTGCACTAAAGCTATGATTTTTGATATGGTTGGGGAGGCTTTCCAGGTTAAGTGTTTAACTTAAATTACCTTCTGAAATCTGCTTTAGGATACAAGGGTATCATTTTATTAGGTGAGTAAAATATTTTTGGGTAAAGAACTTTGTTGTCTACAGCTTTCTAGGCTCACTTTAAATTTTTGCTGAACAGAGCAGGCATATCTGATGACCAGTAGAGTTTTTTGATTAGTCTAATGGGAAAAGCTGATTCTTTTTGTTGAGCTACCTCATGGATTCTGTTGCTGTGTCCTTTACTGGAATGGGAGTGCTGGAAAGACTGGAAGGTGCAGTGGGAGAGGCCATCAGGCATTAGAGGCACCTTGTCCAGGAAGATGGTCCTTTCATGACCTGACTGGGGGGCTGTGCAAAGGACAGATCCAGCGATTTTGCAATGGGCAGTGGGCAGAACTTTGGCCAGAGGGCACTTGGAGGAGGTGCTTTACTCCATGCTCACTCTGTGAGCATTCCTGGAAACCTTTAAAGTCTTGGACAGGCTTCTTATCTTGGCAGCATTGTTTAACCTTCTGCCCTCAGCAGATTATTATTAGGATGTTTCCAATCACAATAGAAGTTTTCCTGGTTTGTAGAACACCATAGTAAATAATTAGTTTGGAGAATGTTGTTATATTATGTTTCTGTGTCTTTGTACAGAATCTTATTTCATACAAATAAATGTGTTTTTAAACACTGTGCAGTAGGTCCCCCAGATGAATGAGGGATGCCTTTGAAGAATTTTGTAACTTCTTTATAAGTCTTAAAATAGCAAACTTAAAACCAAAGTACATATCAGTGACGTTAGTGCAGCTGTGATGGGGAAGAACTGTGAACAAGAGGAGTCAGCTTGGTGATTTGTGGCAAGGACAGGCTCTTGGCCTCAAGACCATGATCGTGTGTGGGCAGTTTCACAGTACAAGCTGTCAGGAGTGGGTTGAGGTTAAGATTGATTGTAGACTATTTATTGCTGGGCCTTTAGTGAATTCAATGTTAAGTTATTAATTTTTATTTTTTATTATTAACTTAATGATTATTAATTTAAAGCATCCTTCATTTTAGATATCATGACCTGTCAGTTTATGTGTAATTCAGTGAGATATGGATAGCTAATATTTGGATGTAAAAATGTCAAAGTGAAGTCTGATTTGCTAAATTGTTTAGTGAAAGTTTGGGGTATAGGCACTCGTCTTTAACTCACGGGACTATAGATGAAGACTTCAGCTGGCTTCTGTGTGCCTAGAACTCAGAACTCACCAACACTTGCTGATTTGAACTATGCCTTAGGGGTGTGATTCTGCCCGCAGTTTCTAAATGGGGGCCTGGGTATGGCTGTGGGGCTGAGCACACACTCAGCATGTTCACTGCCCAGTGTTAGATGCCAAGGAGAGGTACATCTCGAGAGCACGTAGTGTCTTGGAAGAATGAACAGTTAAAGTCTGACAAGTCACATTTGAAAGTCTTAATGTGTTACTGTTAAAAGCCAACGTGTGGAAACTTACCTAAAGATAAGTATTGCTAATATTCAGATACCTGACAGAGGACTTCATGTAGATGCATATTTGAGCACATCTGTTAGTCAGTGGATAATACAGTTGAGAATTGAGTGAATTTACCAGATACTATCATTCTTGAGTTAAAGTTTGTCAGTCATGACAATAAATGAATCTAATGTACTATGTCTTGTGATGCACCAACACGTTTTTCTTGCTGTACTTTTTGACACTTGCTGGATCCTGTCTTCTAAGTACTGTGAGTTAGAAAAGTTTTTTTTTCATTTGTTTTTTAATTTATTGTACACCATTTTAAACTGGTTATTTTAAGGTCAATTATAATTGTATGTTTCTGTATTTGGAAAGTAGTCTGTCAACATTTCCATTATTAATCCTCATTTCTTTCTTTGACTTTTTAATTCTTTCTTGGGTTTATGACAGGCCTATAAAACTTGGTCTACATCGAAACTTGGCAGATTG